AATAATATATTGTTTAATAATATAAAAAATAATATATTTTTAATAATATATAAAAATAAAATAATATATTTTATTTTTTAATTAAACAGTAAATAAAAGTATGTTTTCAATTTTTTTATTTGAATTTTATTTTTTAAAATAATATATTTTTAATAATATTAAAAATAAATTAATATATTTTTAATAATATATATTTTTAATATTTTCAATAATATATTTTTAAAAGTAATACATTTTTAATATATAAAAAATAATATATTTTTAATAATATATATAAATAAAATAATATATTTTTAAAATATATATAAATGTTTTTTTTAGTTTTATTTTTATATAAGTATTTAATATATCTAATTAAAATATAAATAAAAGTAAGTTTTTAATTTTTTTATTTGAATTTATTTTTAAAAATAATTTTATTTAATATCTTTTAATATATATTATATATTTATTTTTTATTATTATTTGTTAATTTTATTTTTTGAAAAGTTGATTCCTACACACATGGAAATGAGAAAACCTTTCATTTACTATATAGAATGGTTAATCCCATAGAGATAGATTTTGCCATTCCCATTGCAATGTTCATTCCTTTCAAAATATATTCCAATCATGGGATTAGGAATGAGTAAAGAAATGATCATTCCATTCCCATGTCATTCCTTCTTACCAATCATACATATAAGGGGATAGTTTTCAGTAATTCAGTTAAAGTAAATTTTCATCTCAGAAGACTGGACTTGTTGAAATATTTTAGTAGAAAAAGTTGGTCAATGGGGGGAATGAGTAAGGAATTGATGAATTTTGGATATTTTATTGTGCCATAGTTTAATGAGAACGTGACGTGTTTGGGACGGTTGACAAATAATGATATTAGTATTTTGAAGAGATAAACAATGGTGGTTGAGTGCCCTATTCCACATAATTGAAACATTGTTGACTTTATTTATTTGTGATATCTAATCTAATTAAATGCTATTTGAGGAAGATAATGCCTGCAAGTTGGTCTTTACTTCCTAGTTCATCAAGATTGGTTGTCTCGCAGTCTTGGAAAATAAAATATGTAAAAGACCATCATCTCATAAATACTTTAGTTGAGGTGTTTGGTAAAGGTAGCAATACTTATGTCAAAAATAAAAAAAAATAAAGATTGGATTAAAAACTGTTAATTGTATATTTATTGGATACATACACAACAACAATTCTTATCGTCTTCTTGTACATAAATCAAGAATTGAAAAAAATCATAAGAACATGATACATGAATTTAGAAATATTTTTTTAGCATATATTTTCACGCAAGTCTGAAGAAGATTCTAGTTCAACTAAAAGAAATTTGAAAATAATGATAAAAGATCAAGATGAATATGTTGAGGTAGAACCTCGAAAAAACAAAAGATGCAAAATAGAAAAAAATTTTGTCCAGATTTTTTAACCTATATGGTTGAAAGTGAACCACAAACTTTTTCAGAAGCAGTAAATTCTTCTGAAGGACCTCTTTGGAAAGAGGCAATCCAAAGTAAAATTGTTTCGTTTTACAAAATCACACATGAGAGCTAGTGGATCTTTCTTCTAGAAGTAAACCATTGGACTACAGGTGGTTTTTCAAAAGAAAAATGAAACCTGATGGAACAATTGATAAGTATAAGTAAGTTTAGACTTGTGATTAAAGGTCATAAGATAAAATAAAGCCTTGATTACTTTGATACATAATACCTATTAATGAGGATAACATTCATCAGGGTGATTATTGCAATTGCAGCTTTACGAATCTTGAAATACATCAAATGAATGTAAAAAAAGGTTTTCTAAATGGAGATTTAGAAGAAAAGATTTATATGGAGCAACATGAAGAGTTCTCTGCTCCCGGGCAAGACAATAAAGTTTCTAAATTGTTTAAGTCTTTGTATGGCTTAAAACAAGCTCCAAAACAATGGCATGATTCAATGTGGATATATAATTAATGAATGTGATAAATATGTTTATGTTAAAAAGACATAAAAGGGTTATGTAACCCTATACTTTTACGTAGATGACATGCTCATTGTTGGAAACTATGATAAAATTATTAAATCCACAAAAGATATGTTAAATTATAGATTTGACATGAAAGATATTGGTCTAGGTGATCTGATTATTGGAATTAAAATTCATAGAACATCACAAGTAATTGTTCTGAGTCAGAGACATTATGTAGAGAAAATCCTTGAAAATTTTAACAAGGATGATTCGACTTAGACTATAATATCTGATAGATACAAGACAACATCTATCGAATAATAATGGCGATAGTATTTCTCAAGTCGAATACTCAGGGGTAATGGGGAGTCTGATGTATCTAATGAATTGTACTAGATCGTACAATGCCTTTGCCATGAGTAAACTGAGGAGATATACAAGTAATCCAGGAGATGAACACTGGAAAGAAATTGTGACATTACCATCAGATACTTGAGATATACTTGTAAATATGGTCTGCACTATTATAAATATCCAACTGTAATTGTAATTGAAGGCTATAGTGATGTCAACGGGATATCGGATATGAAAAACTCTAAATCCACTAGTGGATATTTGTTCAATTTGGAAGGTGCAGCCATATCATAGAAATCCTCTTAGCATACTGTTATTGGGAGATCCACAATAGAGTCTGAATTTATAGCATTAGACAAAAATAAAGAAGAGCAGAATGACTTCGCTATTTTATAAAAGATATTCTAAGATGATCAAAGCCCGTGCCAACCATTTGTATACATTGTGATAGTCAATCGACTATTTGCAGGGCACAAAGTAATATGTAATGGTTAGTCTAGACATATCCGTCGAAAACATAGTACTATTAGACAACTCATCTCAACTTGTACTATATCAATTGACTATTTGAAGTCAAAGATAATCTTTCAGATCCGCATACCAAAGGTTTAAATAGAGAGTTGACTGCTAAATCTTTGAGAGGAATGAGACTTAAGCCTTTAGAAGTGAGTTGATACAATGGAAACTCTACCTTGTTGACTGGAGATCACAAGATCTTGGTTCAAAGGGACAACCTAATTAATTGTAAAAAGACTCTCGTAATCACTGTGACATATTATTTATTGTCCATTCGTTAAACAGTTATACCCATGGTGAGTAATATAATCATTTGTCTTTTAATGATTCTTGTATGGAAAAGAGTGCATGTTACTTTTGATTCAGATTCACCTATGTGAGAGAGAAGTGGAGTCGCTTCTAAGAGAATTGTGTGAGACTCAATTCTTAAAGCCTCTCACAAAACCAGATTATGTCCAAAAGACTCTCGTAATCATTGTGACATATTATTTATTGTCCATTCGTTAAACAGTTATACCCATGGTGAGTAATATAATCATTTGTCTTTTAATGATTCTTGTATGGAAAAGAGTGCATGTTACTTTTGATTCAGATTCACCTATGTGAGAGAGAAGTGGAGTCGCTTCTAAGAGAATTGTGTGAGGCTCAATTCTTAAAGCCTCTCACAGAACCAGATAATGTGAACTGAAATATGTTAGAGAGAATCCTTTATGAAGTATATTTATCGTTTACACAAAAGGCAGAATAGTTCAAAGACATCGCGTCTACTGATCATCTTGTCAAATTAATGTGATTCCACAAGGTAAAGTTTAAATGGTAACACCTACCTATTCTTTGCAGGTTTTAACTGTTGGACCATACCACATATTTTTGTTAATTTTATTCATGTTGGTGATTGTTGAAAATTTTTTTAATGAAACTTGTAACATATAACATTTGTAACAGTGTGTCTTGCAATTTAAACTTGTAAAATGTTACATTATTAACTCCAGTTTAAATGAATATTAATTATATAATTGTCCTAGACTTATGTAAAGGAGGGTTTCCTTTATGGATAGAATAGATACATACCAAAAGAAGAAGAGACACTCTTAATTTTTTATTTTTTTTAATTTTTGGTCCAGACATAATTTCAGTTTGCCAAATTTTATTCGATTTTGTTGTTGTATCATGAGAATATATGCTCATACATAACGAATCAGTTTTAAGGATATTGTGTACGTTCTCACATAACTCAATATTATATTAAATAACTATCTTATTTTTATTTTTCCGATAAAATTCCACACATATTTAACAGTTTGAAAAAAAAAAAAAAAATTGCTATATGTAGTTGTACCTACAATTTTATAAGAAATACTCCCTCCTATTTTTAATAAATGTCGTTTTGAGAAGTTGCACAATAATTAAGAATATTTTTTTACCAATAATAACCTCATTAATGAGGATAGAAAATAATGTTTTGAGAAAAGATTGAGAGTGAATATGAAAAGACGTAGTGTATTTATTAGTTAGACGAGGGTAATAATGGAAAAATATGTACAAAATAGCTAAAACGACATTTATTTAACAAATGATCAATTAAGTTAAAACGACAAATAATAAAAATATGAGAGATTACAAAACAAGAAATAATCGTACACATGCCCGCGCATATATTAAGGATGTGTATTATGCCAATCTAATCTCTATGCCAATTTAAGATATGATTGTCAAGTGGTTCATAATTGAGATCTTGAGTAAGTATTAAAAAATGCGGGGTAACTGAAAGACAAAATGGATGTTGGATTGACCACTCGGCAGATATGGCGCAGGTGGGGATGGATGCCTAAAGTCATTAATCACAAGGAAAGAATATCACTTTATTATTTTCTTTTTGTTTATCTAAAATGCAACTATGAACAAGCATCTTTTTATATACTATATAACTTATATTTCTTTATTCTTGTTTTGTTTTGACTCCAGTGTTTTGTTATATTTCTTGGGTCGTGATATTTTTTTATATATAATGTTTGTGGCTTTGCCTTACTAAAATAAAAAAGTTTATAGATGCTGGAGCTTTATCACATGACTCAATTCAAGACAAATGATTT